CCTGAAGAGTCTGAAGCTGGCGTCGACGGCGCACTCGGCCTCAGCTCTTGGACAGCAGCCGCTGACCTCAACATCAACGGCTGCCTCCACCGGTTCCGGCAACCGGCAGTGCCCGCAGTGCGGCAAGAGCTTCCGCAACGCCTACAAGCTCAACCGGCACCTCTTCGTGCACAAGGACCCCTCGGAGAAGCCCTTCGTCTGCGACTGGACGGGCTGCAACTACCGCTCCATATCGCGCAATGACCTCAGTCGCCACAAGATGATCCACACCGGGGAGAAGCCGTACAGCTGCGAGGTGGAGGGCTGCGAGAAGCGGTACTCGAGGCCTGATAAGCTCCGCCACCACCGGCAAACGGTCCACAGCGGCGGCGGCGGCGCTGGAGCGAAGCTGTTGGGCGAGGGCGGCGCCGTCTCTGCGCTGGTGATTCGAAAAGACCACCGACACGCCCATCCGCCGGAAAAGAAGATGGCCCCGATTGGACATGCGACTGCCATCGCCACCACTGCAGGAGCCTCGATGCCGACTATAACGCTGCAGCAGCAGATGGTTCACCACCAGCCCCATCAACAGCAACAACAACCGCAGCAGCAGATTGTACATCAGCAGCAGCAGCAGCCGTCGCTGGTCACCACGACTACCCCCGGCGTGGTGGCCACCACCACGCTTGATCTCACCTCGGTGATTGCGGCCAATTCTACAGCTGGGGTGGCAGCGACTACCTCTAACCATCATCATCAGCAACAGCTTCAACAGCAGCAATCTCAGCAACTTCATCTTCAACAGCAACAGCAGCATCTTCAACAGCAGCTCCAGCAGCAGCAGCAGCAGCAGCACGGCGGAAGTGGCGGTCAGGCGACCATCTCAGTTCCGCTGTCGATGCTGGCGAACCACAACAGTCCGCTCTCCATAGCTCATCAAGGTGATCATTCGACCGCTTCCTCAGCATCATCGGCCACGGCCAACAATTCCCAGCAGCAGCACTTTTCCACCATTCTCCAGCAGTTTGAGAAGGTGGCCGTGTCGCCGGTGTCTGCAGTGGCCGCCGCCGCCGCCGGCTTCTCTGACAGCACCCGACTGGCGTCCATTGCCGCGGTCGTTCAGCAGCAGCAGCAGCAGCAGCAACAACAACAGCAATCCCGAGGTGATGGTGGTCATCATTCAGGAGGTGGACATCAGCATCAGCAGCAGCAGCCGTTGGTGGTCGTCCCAGCGGGCCTTCAGCACCAGCTCGCCACCTCGGCGGTGCCCATCAGCGCGACCATCGTCTCCTCGGCGCCATCGGTTCAGCAACAGCAGCAGCAGCAGCAGCAGAATAATCAGGCCGTAAGTCAGCAGCAGCAGCAGCAACAGCAGAGGATAAACACCATCCCGGTGTGGTCAACTTGACTGAAACTCATCTTCACTCGTCTCATTCGTTTCAACTCTCTCATTCTCGCACAACTCTCTTCAACTGAGGCCATCCACTCTTTCTCTCTCAGCGGTGATATTCACATAGCCAGATCTTCAAGATTTCAGCCAACCTACCAATCACCATCTTCCATTCTCACCAGCAGCAGCAGCAGCAGCAGCCACCTTCCACAGCACACTTGCCAGCAATCAACTTCTTTTCTTCCCTTCCCCAACTTTACGTGATCGCCTTCGTTTTCGTCTTTCTCACTCTCTCACTTCAACTGTACAAGTACTACTACTACTCCTGCTACTCACTGAAAGTTCATTCACCCGCTACTACTCATTAGGACGGGGCCAGGCCCTGGAGTTGAAGAAGTTGATCACTCACCCACGCACTAACTCACTCACCCCCACACTTCCAAAACACTTTGGGCACCATCATTCAGTTTGTTTGTTTGTTTCACCCTTGCAAAGGACGTTTCTTCGTTTTCTTCGGTTTGTGCCCATCACTTCCATCACCATCATCACCACCACCTGCTTCAACGTACAGATCCAACTGTCCATGACGCATACGCTTTTACTTTACTTGTTCAGCATTGTAGGCGTTGTTTTTGTTGTTCTTATTATTACTCTCTCTCAGCTGTATACTTGTTCTTACCTTCTTCTTTTGTTGTTACGCTTTTACACTTTCTCTCTCTGTCTCTTTCTTCGCAGGTAGCCCCGGTCTTTTATTAACCCATTATCAGTTTCCCCAAAACCCCAACCAAACAATCAAACCAACAGCCAACAACAAACCGCTTGCCACGGCATGGTACCATGTAATTTCTAGTCACCACATACCTGACCGTCAGAGTTTCCAACTCAGCAAGCCGTTTTTCTTTTATCCACACCTGTTCTCTCCACTGATGGGTGGAATATAACTTGTTTACTTACGAAATAAACAACATTTGAATTGTACAAGTTCGGTTGAATTGCTCTACTTTGGTGCAGTCTTGTCTGGTTCTTTTGCCATGTTTGTCCAGCTGACACCAGATGGCGACAGGGNGTCAGAGTTTCCAACTCAGCAAGCCGTTTTTCTTTTATCCACACCTGTTCTCTCCACTGATGGGTGGAATATAACTTGTTTACTTACGAAATAAACAACATTTGAATTGTACAAGTTCGGTTGAATTGCTCTACTTT